GGGGGGATCCCAGGCTTGCAATGCCCTCAGCCGGGCACCAGAGGCCGCTGTTCCCCCCCAGCCAGGGACCCCCTTTCCCCTTGTCCCCTCGGAAGCGCCGGGCTGCGCTGACCCGGAAGTGAACGCAGGGGGCGGCCGGTGTCCTCTGGCCCATGTGGGCGCTGCCGGGCGGGCGGTATGGCCGAGGCTCAGCAGAGCAGGATGCAGGAGGCCATCGACAGCATGGTGCAGGGGCTGGAGCGGGAGAACATCCGGAAGATGCAGGTAACGGGGAGGGGAGGAGCTGGGGTCCCCACTGGCCCCTCTCCGCCCCCCCTTCTCTGCTGCCCGCCCCAGCACCTCCCCCATTTACTGCCCCCCACATCCACCTGCTCCTCTCCCCCCAACAGCCCCCATTAGCACCCTGCTCTCTGACCCATTGCCATGCCTTCCCTGGGGGCCTGGCCCTCTCTGGTAATGGGAGGAGGAAACCAGTGAGCCTGCCCCCCGCCTCCCCCCCCGTATGTGTGTGTAGGTAGAGGGACCCTGGGGGAAGGGGTCAGTGAACTGTGCCCCCAGGCCTGCTGAAGCGTGTGAGCAGGGATCTGGGCCCCTCACCGGATTGGGGTAGGTGGGTGGGTGGGTCAGTGCTATGCTCAAGGAGAGTTGGGTGTCAAAGCCAGACAAGTCTGGTTGGGAGGTCTGCACTATATGCCCAGGGCCCCCACTGGATAGGGTATGTGTATTGGGAGTGAGGGGTTCAGATGCGCGTTGCTACAGGCAATAGCTTTGCAAAAGCCCAGCCTCTGGTGCCACGGAGCCCGCAGCCCGATCCCAGCCAGCGTTCTTTCCCGCTCTTTGCAGGGTAACATGTTTCGGTGCAGCGCCGACTGCTGCGAGAATGACATGGCCTCCATGCAGCAGGTGCACCATTGCATCGAGCGCTGCCACGCGCCCCTGGCCCAGGCCCAGGCCGTCGTCACCAAAGAGCTGGAGAGGTTTCAGGTGCGGAGAAGGTGACCGATGGACCCCGGAGCGGGTTAGCACTGACGTGCCATAGGGAAATAGCATTGACAGTGGCGATCTACTGGGCCCCAACTCCCCATGGAATCTTCTCCCGGTTTAGTTTCAAGCCGTGTGCAGAGGTTTGCCGTGGATGTGGACGGGTTTGGGATGTGGGGCGAGTCAGTGCTGTGCCAAACCCCGTTGCAAAAGTAACCTGGACAAAAGGGGACGCACCCAAGCAGAGAGTTGGTAACATGAACGGCGCATCTCATTTTGGAGAAGAGAAGGCTGTGAGGGAGGGGGGTATTGGATCCTCAAGGTTCTGCTCTGTGTTAAATCCAGGCTCATTATGCAGCACAAGGCTTGAAAGCTCAGGTCATCAGGAAGGAGAACCTCCTGCAAAGAGAACGTGTCTCGTTAGGATAGATTTTTTTTTCCAGTGCTCCAGTTCTAGTGCTGGTGAAAGGTGCTAGTCTGAAAGCAGGGAGGCTGGAGCAGGCGGGAGTCCTTGGAGCACCTATGGAGTGGGCAGAGGGAAAGCTTTGATCTATCTGAGGTATTTTGATGGCCCCCGTTACCATTGTATCTCAGAGCCTCCCAGTCTGTTCACACATTCCCTTCACAACACCCTGGGAGGTAGGGCAGTGCTGGTCTCAGTTTACAGATTGGGAACTGAGGCACACAGAGTCCTTTGCCCAAGATCACACAGGACGTCTGTGGCCAAGCAGGGACTTATGCTCAGGTCTCCCATGTTTTAACGACAGGACCGCCCTTTCTCTCTTTGCCACACTACTGAATTTGACTCCGTCCTGCTTCAGAAGGATGGCATTTTGGGGTCATAGAACAATGTGATCTGCAAGGGCCTCTCTCCTGAGAATCTCAATAGGGGTCCCAGCAGTGGTACAGCTAGGGTGACCAGACAGCAAATGTGAAAAATCGGGACAGGGGGTGGGGGGTAATAGGAGCCTATATAAGAAAAAGACCCCAAAATCAGGACTGTCCCTATAAAATCGGGACAACTGGTCACCCTAGGTACAGCTTTTTTTATGCAGGGGAGATGCCTACTAGGAACTGGGCTGAGACCCACCAAGCGTATTTCCCATAGAGCATCATGCAGCCATTGCAACATCTCTAAGCTGCTACCGACCTGAGTTTGGTTAATACTGATGACCTAGAGGTGAAATGCCCTGTGTCAAATACACATCATTCAGTCCTTGGTCTCCATGTAAACTGCTAGCCACATGGAACAGTGAGAGTAATTAACCACTGGAACAACTTACCAAGGGTTTTGATGGATCACTGACGATTTTAAATCAGGATTGGATGTTTTGCAGAAAGCTCTGCTCTAGGAATTATTTTGGGGCATTCTCTGGCCTGTGTAGTACAGGAGATCAGACTAGATGATCACAATTGTCCCTTCTGGCCTTGAATCAATGAGCTAGGCTGAGACACCCTGCCCGACTTATTGCATGTAGACCACCGCATAGCCTCTGATAGTTGTTGGATAACCTAAGTAAAATGAGTTTGGAGGTCTCATTGCAAATGGTGATAAACTTCCAGCCCACAGCAAGCTTCATTCTTCTGCCATCCATCCCCTCTATTAGAAATAGTTTTATTCTGTGTCCAAAGGCATGACCTCCACTTCTTAGATGGCAGGCTAAGAGCTCATTTGTCCAGCCACTCCACCACCCAATGCATTTTGCTCGCAGCTGCATGAACTCTAACTGTCTGGAATTCTCGTTTGCAGGACCGTTTGGCTCGCTGCACGATGCACTGTAATGACAAAGCCAAAGATTCCCTGGATTCAGGGAGCAAGGAGCAGCAGGTGAAACAACAGCTGGAGAGCTGCGTGACGAAGTGCGTGGACGATCACGTGCATCTCATCCCCAGCATGACCAAGAAAATGAAGGAGACTCTGGCAGCCATTGCACAATAAAGCTGTGTCTGTTTGGGGAGAGAGAGGGAGACGTGTAGTTCCTATTAAAAGAGAGACGTGCACACGGAGATTCGTGTTGGAAATTGAGGAATGAAAATGGATGACAAGGGTGATTTTGTATTTTCCAAGTATTGCAGTGGTCCATTCAAGAGCTGGTTTGGTTTAAGGGCTTGGTGGTCTGGGGCTGATTTGAGGAGTGCCACCAGTTGTGACAGACTAGTGACTTTGCCCCAGTCCTCAAAGGATTAATGGTTAGTGTATATACAGACCATGCTGATAATAGCAGTGTCCTCCACTGACCTTGACGTCCCTCGTGAATGTAGAGCTGCTGGAAGGCACCAGTTTAACAGGCCTGGAGCCTGAAGGGCCTATATCCCTAAGAAGGTATAACAGCAATGCAAGCTTCCCCAGTGCTGCCTAACCAATATGCCTCAATAGTGCCCTGCAGGAGTTAAGGGCCAGGTTCTCAGCAGATGTAAATCAGTGTAGCTCCGTTAGTGTCAGTGGAGCTGTGCCAGTGTAAACCCACTGAGGATCTGGCTCCAAAAGTCCAGTCTCCGTGTACTTTTCATGGTGGTGATGTGAGGGGCTAGGAGGATTTGAAGTGAAACTATCACTTGGTTGGGTTTGAACTGATGCCCTAGAGTTCAAATGTCCAGTGTCCCTGCCTCACTTGTTCTCCAGGCTGTTGTGAACAGGGGGACAGGAATTTCTCCTCCTCAGCTGCTCTCATATCTGCAGAACTTATTGTCTAGCACTGACAGGTTCCCTTTGTCCCTCTAGTGCAGGTGCCTTTTGCTGTTGGAAGGAACAGTTGAAAAGGGAGTGTATGCAATGTATTAGATAATCAGTCTGTTTCTCTTACAATGTTTCTTCCACCAGGAGACACGAAGTAGTCAGGGAGAATATTTTTGCATTGGTAGGTCAAGTCTGCAGTTAAAACATCTTCGGCCTCTACTGCCACTCACACTGGTATAAATCAGGAGTAATTCCATTGGAATAAATGGAGATATGCCTGTGTGTAAACCCAGTGTGACTGAGTGGAGAATCAGCCCCTTGACTTCCTCTGATCTCATCAGGCCACCAACCCTGCAGTGTCTAATTCTACTAAGAGAGCAAGGTCATCCAGCGCCGATGAGTCACGAGAAGTAGCATGGTGTGTTGGAAAGGAATGGCCAATGCCACTTAATGATCCACTCCTGCTGGTTTTACACCAGTATGACTCTATTGGCTTTAGTGGAGTTACTCCTGATTTATAGTGGGGTAAGGAATAGCAGTGTTGGGCCTGAAGTCTATCATTAAGAGTTATACCAGGTACATTGTTCCATGCAGTGTGGCATAAATAACTGTCCTCACCTGAGCCTCTGCAAAACAACCACTGAAGGTTTTAATAGGCGGATTCTCTCCTCCTTTTTGACTTGATATTCCTAATTAAACACACAGAGAGCCTGTCTCTGTTCTCCCTCATCCTGGTATAAATCAGGAGTTTCTCTGCTAAAGTAATGGATTTACAGCAGCATAAATGCACAATCAGATTCTGCAGCATGTTGCAGTGCAGGCTTGAGGTCGATTTCAGACCTTGTTCTTCCCTGGAGCAGCAGGGACAGGGAGCAATGCAGAGGAGGTTGGCTTGAATGCTGGGGCAAGGTTAATGCGCTCCATTAGTCATGGAGCAGCATTACTGGCTGCCTCAGATGTGGAACTACTCAGCTACAGGAGGAGGGAGTTCTGAAATCTGTGGTCCTCAAGGTAAATGAGCACAATACAGAGATGATCACCACCAAACTAAAAAGGGGAAATGACATCCAGTAAACAGCAGCACCACCATCTTGTCCTGTGCTTGTGGCTGGAGACACTGTAGCAAGTATCTTAGGATGGTTCTATTTATTGTGAGCTGAATGACCTGTCTGTACCTTCTCAGGAACAGCTATAATGAACACAACCATTTTGTTCTGTCCTTTTAAAAACTGATTTATTTTCTAAAAGTTTGATTCAAAAATAAATTTTAGATGACAACTCCTCTGTATTTTTACTTACGCCAAGGCTCGTCATGGCTTCATTGTGAGAAGTGCTAGATTTTGATTTTATATGTTCTAGTGTGTTTTCCTCTCTTGAACTCTTCATTTTGTATTATAGCTGTAGCCAGTGGGTTTCACTGCTAACATTTAAAACAGCTCTAGTTCCAACTCACTGCTTGGGAACCAAAGGGCAACCTTATTAGTAATCATGTTTAGTGCCTAGGGGGAGCCAATGCCAAATGGAGCTCCATCGTGCTAGAGCAGGGGTAGGCAACCTATGGCACGCATGCCAAAGGCGGCACACGAGCTGATTTTCAGTGGCACTCACACTGCCTGGGTCCTGACCGCCGGTCCGGGGGTCTCTGCATTTTAATTTAATTTTAAAGGAAGCTTCTTAAACATTTTAAAAACCTTATTTACTTTACATACAATAGTTTAGTTATATATTATAGACTTATAGAAAGAGACCTAAAAACGTTAACGTGTATTACTGGCACACGAAACCTTAAATTAGAGTGAATAAATGAAGACTCGGCACACCGCTTCTGAAAGGTTGCTGACCCCTGTGCTAGGGGCTTTGCAAACAGAATAGTGGAGAGTCCCTTCCCCAAGGAGCTTACAATCGAAATAGACAAGACAGGGAAAGGGGGCGAAAGGGGTGGCAGCAAAGGCTTCTCCTGCATTGGAATTTCTGATTGGTTTCCAGTCACCTCTAAATCAGAGCAAGATCCACATTTTGGACGTGTTCGAAACCCGAATTGGCATTTGGATTTTGTAACGTTTTAAATGAGACGAACCAAAAACGTTTATCCAAACCTCCTGCGTTTGGGCTGCTCTGGCTCCAATGTAAGCTGCTGTAGGTGAGCAGCTAAATACTACAAGCAGGGTCGTATTGCCGTGGGGAACCGCGCATCAATATTTTTGGTGCTTCAGTGTTTATGGTGCAATGGCAAGACCGCTGCTGACGGCTCCGTGTGGTGAATTGGCTTTGTCACCATCTGCTGTCAAGGTGCCTTCTGCAACTATGTTGCTCCCGAGCTGCCACTAAGTAGATAAAGCCTCTATTCTGAGGAATACGGGGGAAGTGAGTCACGTGCCCTCGCTGTAGCGCTGCCGGGAGGGTGGGGAGGAAGCGGCACGGCCCGCATTGGCTGTCGGGTCAGTGAGGTCACCCGCAGAATACAACGGCGATCACGCTGGTTGGCTTAAGTGATTTTTAAGTCATACGCATGCGTTCCCGGCGTTACTGTTGATTGGGTGAAAGGGGTTAAGCACGCGGCCTCGGCGTAATCCCTGATTGGTTGCTGAGCCGCGGACGCGGTGACGCCAGAACTGGATCCGTGCGGAGGAGCGCCAGGCGGTTGTGGTGGACTGAGGCAGCACCATGAGTAAAGCGCACCCGCCCGAGCTGAAGAAGTGAGTGCGGCCGGGGGAAAGCGGGGATCGCCGCCCCGGGGCGGGGGGGATGTGGAGCCAGCGGGGGTAGCCCCCGGGCCATAATTTCAGTAGGACCCACCTTTATTGCCTACTCCCCCAGCGTCCCGGCATGCACTGCGCTGACCAGCGGGGCCTCTCTCTCTGCGCGGGGTGGGAAGTAACCCCTTCCCCTCCCCCCGTGCTGGGCACGTGGTGCCACCTCGGGCAGGGCCCTGGGGCAGCCCCGCCCCATCCACCTTGGCAAGGGGCACGTGCGTAGGGACCAGCCCACCCCCCGCTCAATTCTGGGTGACATTAGCCTGGGTGCCCCAGAGGCGCCCCCCCACCCCAATACATGTAGAGCTTCAACTGGCTGTTTGCCCTTGGTCAGGCTGGCTGCAGTGCAGTGGTAACATGCCCAGCGAACACCGCACTGAGCCCATACATTGCCCATGGCTTGACACCTGCGTACAAACCAATGGGATGCCAGGGAGAGGGCCTATGGGCCAGGCTGTTTGTGTTTTACGTTAACTCGTATCATCTTTCTGCCCCATTAATGTGTGTCTCTCTCTCCCTCCTCCCCCTTATGCTTTCAGATTCATGGACAAGAAGCTATCACGTGAGTTATTTATGTGCCTAGATTTATTCTAAGCATCACTGTCATTTTAAAGTTCCTATTGTAGTAGGAAGAGAGCCTGAGACATAAGCCCTTGTATTAGAGGCCTGGTATGAGGCAGGACCTGCTCACAGAATCCGGCAAGAACAGGGCTGATATTGTAGAAGTACACATTCCTAAGAAGTGCTAGTCAGTGTACTTGCGCAAACACATCCTGATATCAAGGATGGTACAAAAACATTCCCCAAGGATAACAGGAACACATCAGAACAGTGGTCACTAGCACACTAAGTGCCTAACCACTACGAAGCCTTAATGTAACTTTACTCCTGCATTTTGAGGGATATTATACGTGATATCAGACCACGGTCTGCTAATATCGACCACCATCCAGACTTCCTTGTTATACTGCATTTTTGCATATGAAGCCTGTGGTATGGGGAATACTAGTTCTAGTAAGCAATGGGCCGTTCACATGCAGTATGACTAAATAGTGTTTCAAACTGTCATAGCATTAAAAGATGGTTCTAAAGCTCCGGTCTCAAAGGTAACACTTTGTAACCAAGAAAGCTAAGTACTACAGCTGCATGCCGGTAACTTTTTTTTTATTATTATTTATCAAATATTTCTTCTAGTGAAGTTAAATGGTGGCCGACATGTCCAAGGGATATTGCGAGGGTTTGACCCCTTCATGAATCTAGTGATAGACGAGTGTGTGGAGATGGCACAAGGTGGACAACAGAACACTATAGGGATGGTGGTAAGTATAGAGTTTTCACCCCTATTGGATGGTATGGGTTGAAACATTTTGGGGGGGGGGGGTCTTTATTTCAGACTCTCTTTCCCCAGTCCCCACCGGTCATGGTGATGAGCACTATTTTCTAGCAAATGTGCCTGAACCAGGTGAATTCTAGGAAACTAGCTAGTCCACACCGTATCTGTCACTGAATAATCTCTGGGCGGTTTATGGGTCAAAGTTAATTGCTGTTCCTGTTTCTAGAAGAGCTAATCTGGAGAAATATACATGCTGTAGACAGCTTCCTAGCTGGGTTTTTTTGGTAGTATTAAATACTCCTGATCTTTGTCCCATCTCTAGTTTTGCTAAACCACATTGGTTGTTATAGAATTCTAATCTTTTTATATTCCTTATTTTTAGGTAA